GTCTGCCGATGGACGGAATAGTCCTCTGATAGGTGTTTGGTCCGTGAAACATACTCCGATACCACTGTAGAATATATGTGACAATTCCAATGTATAAGTAGGAAGAGGTCCCCGTACCAAGAGAAGACGCCCAACTCAACCGCAAATCAATAGACAGACCTAGGAGACATCAATAAAGCCGACAATGCCTCCATGGTACCAAAAGGGACAAGCATCATCGTGTCTATAGTCATATCCAGAAAAGCTTGCAAGTCAAAAACGATTAAAGACCAGAGTGACACCACATTTAGATGGATGGACGTCCTCAAAATTTCAGATGATGAAAAAAGGATAAAGAAACAAGAAAGTCATTTCATATATTTAATGGGAGCATATAAGATAACCATAATTTATTAAATTAAATCTACACAATGGGAAATGGGGTTATGATATTATAGTAATCAACGTTTTACAAAAATTGTCATTTTTTTCAGAAAACAAAGATTATACAAACTAACCTTGAAATATTTTCCACCCCAGATATGTAATACTGGACTGGTGAAAATCCTTCCGGGGTGAACTGTCGTGCATTTATAGTCGATGGGCTGGTGTTTGATTGTCATGAATGGTCAGCAGCCATGATCTAGCTTACTGATGTAGGTAATGGGTTCTGTATGGACAGTGTACTGCCAGGAACAGTCAGCAGCCATGATCTAGCTTACTGATGTAGGTAATGGGTTCTGTATGGACAGTGTACTGCCAGGAACAGTCAACAGCCATGATCTAGCTTACTGATGTAGGTAATGGGTTCTGTATGGACAGTGTACTGCCAGGAACAGTCAACAGCCATGATCTAGCTTACTGATGTAAGTAATGGGTTCTGTATGGACAGTGTACTGCCAGGAACAGTCAGCTGTCATGTATTTTGCTTGAACATGTTATTCGTAGAATGAGCTATAACTTGCATGATTGAAACGATGGGCGGTAGCTATGAGGGATGAACAGTCGCTAATAAAGTGTGATGTGTACTGTATTGATGGTTATAAAAAGGTATGAACTTTCATGAACCAGTCGTGTGTGTTGAGTGTACAGCAGTAACTGTGGTGGCTGCTGGGAAGTTTTCCTTTGTTTGAGTGTACAGCAGTAACTGTGATGGCTGCCGGGAAGTTTTCCTTTGTTTGAGTGTACAGCAGTAACTGTGATGGCTGCCGGGAAGTATTCCTTTGTTTGAGTGTACAGCAGTAACTGTGATGGCTGCTGGGAAGTATTCCTTTGTTTGAGTGTACAGCAGTAACTGTGATGGCTGCCGGGAAGTATTCCTTTGTTTGAGTGTACAGCAGTAACTGTGATGGCTGCCGGTTAGTATTCCTTTGTTTGAGTGTACAGCAGTAACTGTGATGGCTGCCGGGAAGTATTCCTTTGTTTGAGTGTACAGCAGTAACTGTGATGGCTGCTGGGAAGTATTCCTTTGTTTGAGTGTACAGCAGTAACTGTGATGGCTGCCGGGAAGTATTCCTTTGTTTGAGTGTACAGCAGTAACTGTGATGGCTGCCGGTTAGTATTCCTTTGTTTGAGTGTACAGCAGTAACTGTGATGGCTGCCGGGAAGTATTCCTTTGTTTGAGTGTACAGCAGTAACTGTGATGGCTGCTGGTTAGTATTCCTTTGTTTGAGTGTACAGCAGTAACTGTGATGGCTGCCGGTTAGTATTCCTTTGTTTGAGTGTACAGCAGTAACTGTGATGGCTGCCGGGTAGTATTCCTTTGTTTGAGTGTACAGCAGTAACTGTGATGGCTGCCGGTTAGTATTCCTTTGTTTGAGTGTACAGCAGTAACTGTGATGGCTGCCGGGAAGTATTCCTTTGTTTGAGTGTACAGCAGTAACTGTGATGGCTGCCGGGAAGTATTCCTTTGTTTGAGTGTACAGCAGTAACTGTGAAGTATTGGTTTGCTTGAGTGTACAGCAGTAACTGTGATGGCTGCTGTGAAGTATTCCTTTGTTTGAGTGTACAGCAGTAACTGTTAAGTATTCCTTTGTTTAAGTGTACAGCAGTAATTGTGATGGCCCCCGGTTAGTATTCCTTTGTGTGAGTGTACAGCAGTAAATGTGATGGCTGCCGGGAAGTCTTCCTTTGTTTGAGTGGACAGCAGTAAGTGTGAAGTATTGGTTTGCTTGAGTGTACAGCAGCAACTGTGATGGCTGCCGAGAATTATTCCTTTGTTTGAGGGTCCAGCAGTAACTGTGAAGAATTGGTTTGCTTGAGTGTACAGCAGTACTGTGATGGCTGCCGGGAAGTCTTCCTTTGTTTGAGTGTACAGCAGTAACTGTGAAGTATTGGTTTGCTTGAGGTGTAAATGACTGTGGTGTACCTGTGTGTATGACATTAATAGGGAGCTTAAGATAACTAAGTCAACAAAACATGGATGATGTCACATTAATGAACTTGAGTATTGTTCAGTACATATGCTATACGTCGGCGGATGATAGGGTCTCATACACGGCAAGATTGGAGGTTCTAGGAGGGGCCATAAAATCCTTTCCATGGAGAAAACCATACTTAAAACATAAGTTTGTTTTTAACACATATTATTCAAAATATATAGTTCGGGTAAAAGAATAAACAATATACTAAAATGTCATGAAAGCTTGTCAGAAACATTCAAAATACGTGTATGAATAAACCAGGTTGATATCATGTGTGTGGACTACATCGGTAGGGTCCCCCATACAGGTGTCATCCAGTATGCACCTGGCGGGCTAATCATAATGTAAAGAAAGTTTTATTTTTAATGTAAAGGCATCCATAGATGGAATATACTTTCATAAAAAATGTTGCAATTCAAATTCACACCAGTGTTCTGATATACATGTATTTTCATGACAGATTTGCTTCGTCAGAGGACGGGTTTAGGTAGTCTTGAAAATTGCCAATTAGTGTTTAATTACTGTTCACCTCTTACTTCCTGACCTATTGCTGTTCATTCATAATAATATCTAATAGCTGCTTCTGTTACTAAAACAATTACCAAAATACATAAGACATAAAAAACTTTAAATGTGAAAATATAATTATAAAACCCCATATACAAGAATAGTCCAAGAGGGAAGACTTGAATTTCCCTCAAAGAGCCTCAACCTATATTTTTCATTGAAAATAAAACCTAAAAATAAAATAAAATCTATGAGCATCATATAAAAAAAAATGTATGGATTGAAAACATAGCATTGATTGGTACAAATATATGATGAATTTAACATAATTTTCCAATAGCTAAACACAACTGAGTTATATCAGCACACATTTTCTCCTCATTGTACGAAATACACTGGCCGCTTCTAATGGCATTAGCAAATAGGAAACATTGTTCTGTAGAACAAGTGTTATCCCAGTCTTTAATCTTTTATTCTAATGAAAAATAGAACAGTAGATTATATGTTGGTTTCCACTGACAATGATAACAGAAGATTAAGAGTTGGTTTCCATTGACAATAACAGAAGATTAAGAGTTGGTTTGCATTGACAATGATAACAGAAGATTAAGAATTGGTTCTACTTCTACCTTGCTGCCTGATTATGCTACTGTATCACAAACTTAGGTTCTGTGTTACAAGGGAGACAACTGTGTTATAAGGGAGATGACTGTGTTACAAGGGAGACAACTGTGTTATAAGGGAGACAACTATATCTGGCTATGTATCTAATAGAACAGTACAATGTTCTGAATACACCTATTCCTCCGTCAAAAACCAGAAACAAATTACCAGGTACTAAAATAATCTTTGAAAAGATTTTTTTATCACAAAAACAAAATTTGATTTAAACAAAAGAACATATTTTTTTTCAATAACAAGTTTATATCATCACCTAATAACAAGACGAACATCTTAAAAAAAAATCCAGCTACGAAGTTAGGATCATTTACGGTACAGATGATATGTGGCTACAAGGAGTCTTATATGTCAGCTTTAATGAGACAGAAATATGAACCGACTAGATACTGTCAATATTTTAAGGAAGCTCACCAGTGATAGTTTCCCGAGTCTCTACATGGACCCAGCATTACTGTATTACACACATAACACATTATACATTAATACTGTAATCAACTTCCAAGCATTGCTGGAAATAAATTATTACATGACAACACGGACACAATTTCGTAAAAAATAAACCCAATGTTCATAAAAACTTGGGCATCACTGAGAAATATATAAAGATTTTTGTATACGATTCAAATCCTCATCCTCCAAAACCAAAGAGCCATCAGGAGCAGAGAAGCTTCGGACTACAACATTACAGTACACACTTAATGACCTCACACTAGCTGATCGCTCAGTCGTACCTTCCCAGAAGGCTCCCCTATCTACGTTCAGTTATCAGTATGTCCATACAGGACTATAAATCAATGTACACTCAAATTCAAAAGATTGGTTCACATTCTACACCATTTATCTGACTTCAAACATCAAATAAAATTAACTGTTTTTCAAAAGATGAATATTCTTTTGTTTTATAACCGAATTATTTAAAAACTTAATTAACACAAAGTCAAAGAATTCCAATTACTAGTGCATTGTGAACAAACTTAACAATGACTTGGTCGAGTTTTAAGGTTTTCTGAGTTCCAGTCCATGAAGATTTTTTCACTTAGATAAACATCTGAACACAGAAAATACTTTGAGACATCCAAAGTTTTCAAATCTTTAATGAGACTGAGATAAACTTTGACAGATTAATAACAAACAAGCCAAAATCAACTTCTGAAAAATCAATTTCTCATTATAATCAATAGTTTGTATTGTATGACTTTGACCAAAGGAGCTAGGGATTTCACTAGCTTATATAGCCTACAGGAAATACTGCAGTCACTACTGATAGCGTTGCTGTGGTCAGTCACTACTGATAGTGTTGCTGTGGTCATTCACTACTGATAGCGTTGTTGTGGTCAGACACTACTGATAGTGTTGCTGTGGTCATTCACTACTGATAGCGTTGTTGTGGTCAGTTACTACTGATAGCGTTGCTGTGGTCAGTCACTACTGATATAGTTGTTGTGGTCAGTCACTACTGATAGTGTTGTTGTGGTCAGTCACTACTGATAGTGTTGCTGTGGTCAGTCACTACTGACAGCATTGCTGTGGTCAGTCACTACTGATAGAGTTGTTGGGGTCAGTCACTACTGATAGCGTTGTTGTGGTCAGTCACTCCTGATAGTGTTGCTGTGGTCATTCACTACTGATAGCGTTGTTGTGGTCAGTCACTACTGATAGAGTTGTTGGGGTCAGTCACTACTGATAGCGTTGTTGTGGTCAGTCACTCCTGATAGTGTTGCTGTGGTCATTCACTACTGATAGAGGTGTTGTGGTCAGTCACTACTGACAGAGTTGTTGTGGTCAATCACTACTGATAGAGTTGTTGTGGTCAGTCACTACTGATAGAGTTGTCGTGGTCAGTCATTACTGACAGAGTTGTTGTGGTCAGTCACTACTGATAGAGTTGTTGTGGTCAGTCACTACTGATAGCGTTGCTGTGGTCAGTCACTACTGATAGCGTTGCTGTGGTCAGTCACTACTGATAGCGTTGCTGTGGTCAGTCACTACTGATAGAGTTGTTGTGGTCAGTCACTACTGATAGTGTTGCTGTGGTCAGTCACTACTGATAGCGTTGCTGTGGTCAGTCACTACTGATAGCGTTGCTGTGGTCAGTCACTACTGATAGCGTTGCTGTGGTCAGTCACTACTGACAGCATTGCTGTGGTCAGTCACTACTGATAGCGTTGCTGTGGTCAGTAAGCACTAACTAAACATGTACATAAAAAAATACAAAAATATCCACCACAGACAAGGCCCCAATGTAACTAAGGATTTGTTGGAACTGTCCGAGCCAGATGTCATCTACCACAGATGTTTTGTGAAACTGTTGTCCGACTGATGATGTTCAACATCAACATAGAGCACAGGAATAATTACAGCTCAAAAATCCGGATTTCTTTGAATTTTCAACTTAAAAGTTGTTTTTTTATTTTGCCCTAAAATTTTGATTATAATGGAAATCAAAGTTCATTAAAACACCTATTTTCTGCAAAAAGATTACCTATAAGTTTGTGTTTTTACACAAGGATGACTCAACCTAGGCCAGCTAGGCAAGTATAAAAAGAAGCATCCTTCTTCATATTTATATCTTAAATGAAAAGTGAAACCTTTAGCTTCTGGCCTGTTGGCCTGTTTCAATGAAGCCTGTAAAGGGTAAAGGTTATGGTAGCACTAATACCTAATGTTAAGGTGTCAGTATCTGATGAAGGCACGCTTTAACAAATCTCTCCCATATTTCAGTGTTCTCTCCCTATAATCATCTTACTGATGACAGTAGGTTTGACAACAGAACACAAGTTTTTGGCCCTTAATTCATTGTATGAAATTTGAGTTTTTATTAGTTACAAGATATTTAATATTTATCATTTTAAAAGTTAAAGGCCAGTTGTCTAATTCAAACATGTTTTTTTTTAATTTGTATAACCTCAAATATTCAAATACCAAAGGCAAACGAGCATTAAATACTTCAAACCATAGCCCAGTGACAACCACAGAACATTACAACCGTCCTATCATTTATCACAGAACAAAGTGGATTCTACCTCGGATATATCTTACAATTTATGCAGATTCATCCGTTTTTCATTTTAAAGTGAGCAACCTACGAATTTAAATTTCATTTTTTTGTGAGTTTGTTCTTAATTAACGTGATTTATAGATAGGAAACTATACATGTATGTATATATATATGTGTGTATATATATGTCAAATAGAAAAAAAATCATTTTCACAATATAAATACAGATATTGCCCTTAAGTATATTTAGGAGACCTATTGTTCTATACAGAGGAGACCTAGCATTCTATAGTAATTGTCACATAAAACTACCCTGTATATATTCTGGCCGTAAAATACATCAAATAATCTAGTTACAGATAAAAACAACATTGGCACATGGATTATCTACCCTTACTCACACATGGATTATCTACCCTTACTCACACATGGCAACAGGAACACATCGTGGGTAACAACATGTACAGTTCATCTTAACAACAGTGTGGGTGGATTAAAGGGGATCATTTAAATTACATAAACAAAATAATTAAAACAGAAACATAAAAAAGTTCTAATACATGTATGCCATACAAGCTATCCAAGTCACCATAAGGACTTGAACATATCACAACCAACACTAGTCTAGCATTAACACAGAGCCAGTCTCCAGACAGGCAACTGTCCAGCAGTACCACAGGTCTGGAAGCCCGGGCCCTGGTCACCAGGGCCCTAATGTCACATGACCAGGAGCCTCACTGTCACATAACCAGTGGTTTCACCGTCACATGACCAAAAGCCTCAATGTCACATGAACAGAGCACGCTAGTCATATATCCAGAGCTTCACTGTCAAATGACAAGAACCTCATTGACATGACTAAAGCTTTCAGTCACATGACCAGAGCCTCACTATCAAATGACCAGTGGTTTGTATGGCCAGCAATGGCACCAGGTTATCAACCTCTCTGTCTTATCATTAAGCACCTCTCATTTGTTGAGGAAATTCCTTTCTTTTCCGAGAATGTCCAACCATTCCTTGAGTGAAGGTTACAACTTTCAGCAGATGCTTTTCTCTGTACTGGGAACATTAAACAGTTGATGTTGTCTCAACAAAAGACAGAAGGACATTACAATCTCAACAAAGCTGTCTGTGTCCGGCCTGGTCACACCACACAAGTAAGAACATAAGTTAGCGCCGAGAGCAGCAGTGGAAGAACGAGGATTTAGCTCTTTGTCATAAACTCAGTTTTTTCAGTCGTCTTCGGCCACGCCGACGATGGTGATTGCGTGCATCCTGCTCCTCTCGACTGCGCACAATGAAGCTCAGTTCAGAACCACTATTGTTCATAGCATAAAACACATTCACTTTATCTGGGATCAGCATCTCTACAAGTAAACAACATGAACATAGATTAGATACCAATTATACAATGGTGTTGTTCATACATTACATTAAAGGGAAACATCAGCCTTACTTCTATGAACATGTGCTGTTTGATGTTCTACAGGGTGTAGTCACCAATCTAGGCTACACTTATACTTCTATCAACATGTGCTGTTTGATGTTCTATAGGGTGTAGTCACCAATCTAGGCTACACTTATACTTCTATCAACATGTGCTGTTTGATGTTCTATAGGGTGTAGTCACCAATCTAGGCTACACTTATACTTCTATCAACATGTGCTGTTTGATGTTCTATAGGGTGTAGTCACCAATCTAGGCTACACTTATACTTCTATCAACATGTGCTGTTTGATGTTCTATAGGGTGTAGTCACCAATCTAGGCTACACTTATACTTCTATCAACATGTGCTGTTTGATGTTCTATAGGGTGTAGTCACCAATCTAGGCTACACTTATACTTCTATCAACATGTGCTGTTTGATGTTCTATAGGGTGTAGTCACCAATCTAGGCTACACTTATACTTCTATCAACATGTGCTGTTTGATGTTCTATAGGGTGTAGTCACCAATCTAGGCTACACTTATACTTCTATCAACATGTGCTGTTTGATGTTCTATAGGGTGTAGTCACCAATCTAGGCTACACTTATACTTCTATCAACATGTGCTGTTTGATGTTCTATAGGGTGTAGTCACCAATCTAGGCTACACTTATACTTCTATCAACATGTGCTGTTTGATGTTCTACAGGGTGTAGTCACCAATCTAGGCTACACTTATACTTCTATCAACATGTGCTGTTTGATGTTCTACAGGGTGTAGTCACCAATCTAGGCTACACTTATACTTCTATCAACAAGTGTGACCATTGTCAGTAACGGTAGATGTACCCCTAGCTGGATACTCACCCCCATCAGGCAGGACCTGCAGTAGACAGTAGTCTTTGTGACGCCCTGATACCGAGTATTTCTCCAGAACTTTGTCAATCACATTGTTGGTGTGGTCTGCATTGTGCAGCTGAAAAATATAAAAGTAAGGTTTAAACAATTTTTCAAAAACAAATGATATGTTATGATTATGAATGTCTTAAATAGAAATTTAATAGTACAGGCAACCTGCTTTTGGTCACTTTAACTAAAAGGCAAGCTTTCCACAGTATTATCTGTAGAACATTGACAAAATTCCCAGCTCATTAATGTGTCGCCAGTTTTACATATGTAGGGGAGAGAATACATACCATAATACTTTTGTACACATGTGTATATTAGAGAGTCTACATACCATAATGCTATTGTATATGTAGGGGAGAGAATACATACCATAATACTTTTGTACACATGTGTATATTAGAGAGTCTACATACCATAATGCTATTTTATATGTAGGGGAGAGAATACATACCATAATACTTTTGTACACAAGTGTATATTAGAGAGTCTACATACCATAATGCTATTGGATATGTAGGGGAGAGAATACATTCCATTATACTTTTGTACACATGTGTATGTTAGAGAGTCTACATACCATAATGCTATTTTATATGTAGGGGAGAGAATACATTCCATAATACTTTTGTACACAAATGTATATTAGAGAGTCTACATTCCATAATGCTATTTTATATGTAGGGGAGAGAATAGATACCATAATACTTTTGTACACATGTGTCTGAGCGTCGGCTCCCGACTCAAAGCTGACCCTGACAACACAGTGGTCGGAGGACTTGAACGGAGACATTGGATCACTGTCGTAAGACAACAGCGAAGATGTAGATGATGAATGAGACATCTAGAAATAAACACAAAATATATCAGAAAAAAATCTATACCGATTCCTACTTTTATCCTCAATCTGTTTAAAGGTGATGAGTAGTCCCCTGCTCTTACTGCCATCTCTGAGATTTTACCTATAGAATGGGATGTTACCTGTGATTACTGCCATCTCTGAGAATTTACCTATAGAATGGGATGTTACCTGAGATTACTGCCATCTCTGAGATTTTACCTATAGAATGTGATGTTACCTGTGATTACTGCCATCTCTGAGAGTTTACCTATAGAATGGGATGTTACCTGTGATTACTGCCATCCCTGAGATTTTACCTATAGAATGGGATGTTACTTGTGATTACTACCATCTCTGAGATTTTCCCTATATAATGGGATGTTACCTGTGATTACTGCCATCTTTGAGATTTTCCCTATAGAATGGGATGTTACCTGCGATTACTGCCATCTCTGAGATTTTACCTATAGAATGTGATGTTACCTGTGATTACTGCCATCTCTCAGATTTTACCTATAGAATGGGATGTTACCTGTGATTGCTGCCATCTCTGAGATTTTACCTATAGAATGTGATGTTACCTGTGATTACTGCCATCTCTGAGAATTTACCTATAGAATGGGATGTTACCTGAGATTACTGCCATCTCTGAGATTTTCCCTATAGAATGGGATGTTACCTGTGATTACTGCCATCTATGAGATTTTACCTATAGAATGGGATGTTACTTGTGATTACTGCCATCTCTGAGATTTTCCCTATAGAATGGGATGTTACCTGAGATTACTGCCATCTCTGAGATTTTCCCTATAGAATGGGATGTTACCTGAGATTACTGCCATCTCTGAGATTTTCCCTATAGAATGGGATGTTACCTGTGATAACTGCCATCTCTGAGATTTTACCTATAGAATGTGATGTTACCTGTGATTACTGCCATCTCTTAGATTTTACCTATAGAATGGGATGTTACCTGTGATTGCTGCCATCTCTGAGATTTTACCTATAGAATGTGATGTTACCTGTGATTACTGCCATCTCTTAGATTTTACCTATAGAATGGGATGTTACTTGTGATTACTACCATCTCTGAGATTTTCCCTATATAATGGGATGTTACCTGTGATTACTGCCATCCCTGAGATTTTACCTATAGAATGGGATGTTCCCTGTGATTACTGCCATCTCTGAGATTTTCCCTATAGAATGGGATGTTACCTGTGATAACTGCCATCTCTGAGATTTTACCTATAGAATGGGCTGTTACCTGTGATTACTGCCATCTCTGAGAATTTACCTATAGAATGGGATGTTACCTGTGATTAGTGCAATCTCTGAGATTTTACCTATAGAATGGGATGTTACCTGTGATTACTAACCCTGTAGATGGGTGATACTGGACACTCATTAACTCAGGGTTGGTCGTACTACAAACTACAATTACTCCAGGGATGGGCTGTACTAAAAACAACTCACCCCAGGGTTAGTATTACTAGAAACTAATAATCTGGCCATGGGTGATTCTGGAAATGATTTATCCCAGGAGTGGGTGATTCAGAAAACTTATTACCCCAGGGATGGATGATTTATCCCAGGAGTGGGTGATTCAGAAAACTTATTACCCCAGGGATGGGTGATTTTTGAAAACTACTTACCCCGGGGGTGGGTGATACTGGAGAGTCAAGATTTGAGCTACTACACACACTGGACCGGTCATCTAGTCCACATGCAAACATGGCAAACCGTGAACTGTCAAACTTGGCGGGCTTGTGACCGAGACTGAAACAGAGATATAACAAAATGTTTACTGATGTTAACATTGGCGGGCTTGTGACCGAGGCTGAAACAGAGATATAACAAAATGTTTACTGATGTTAACATTGGCGGGCTTGTGGCCGAGACTGAAGCAGAGAAATAACAAAATGTTTACTGAGGTTAACATTGGCGGGCTTGTGACCAAGACTGAAACAGAGATATACATGTATAACAAAATGTTTACTGATGTTAACATTGGCGGGCTTGTGGCCGAGACTGAAGCAGAGAAATAACAAAATGTTTACTGAGGTTAACATTGGTGGGCTTGTGACTGAGACTGAAACAGAGATATAACAAAATGTTTTCTGAGGTTAACATTGGCGGGCTTGTGACCAAGACTGAAACAGAGATATACATGTATAACAAAATGTTTACTGATGTTAACATTGGCGGGCTTGTGACAGAGACTGAAACAGAGGTATACATGTATAACGAAATGTTTACTGATGTTAACAGCTTACACACATACGGATAAATACAATAATTCTGAGAGGTTATGTATGTACAAACATCCATTGACGTAGTAGACAGCAGTCCTATAACAATTACCACAGGGATATACCAGTCCTTCTGCTGGGTAACCCAACTGATCGGTAGTGAAGTGGATGTTAAACCACTCAAACAAACAAGCATAAAGCAGTGTTATATGCTTAACAAGTAATCAAGTTATACCTACCTAGAAGATTTCTTTTTGATTTTGGCAGAATCATCTTTCATGGGTTCTATTGCACAAGAAAGGTCATGGCTGAAAACAAAACAATAATACATCGTAAATTTGTCAAGTCTTAGTAATAAGATGTTTATTAAAACGATCACTTCACATCATAATTACACTATTAGAGTTGGAAAATATTCAATATTCCTGTTTTATTTTGTTCAATGAAAATTTTAATCTTTCTCAACAATTTCTTCAGGTTGGTAAGTATGGATTGTGAAAATCTTCATGTAACACAACCAATAAGTGCTTATATGTGATGCTTCAATGTCTAGTACAGTATGTACTCTGCCACCTTCATCAGACCAATGACCAGTGAAGCGTATGTACACAAAGGTGTAATATATGTATGAGTTGTCCACACAAATCGATGTCAGTTTGGCTAAGCTTTAAGCATATGAACAATAAGTTGTTATATATGTACTGAAACGACTCAGCGACGCTATAAACAATATTTTAATCGAATAAAATTGGAACTGCATTAACTAGATAATCTTGCTTACCTTTCGCTTTCATCATAAACTCTGACGGAGTCGAACCAGAGCCAGACCCCTGGGTCCTCATAAAGACTGTATATTTGGGCTGCTGACTGGAGCAGCTTTATCTGGGCCAGCACCTCAAACTCCTTACGTCTTTTGTCGAAGTTGATAAGCCCGTCGTCAGTACAGTCTTGTATAGCCGTGTCAATCATAGTTAGATCTGTGAGGAACGTTCCAAGATATGGCCCTGTACCCTGAACAATACCCTGTAATATACACAAACATGTATACAGCCCTGTACCCTGAACAATACCCTGTAATATACACAAACATGTATACAATACTGTACCCTGAACAATACCCTGTAATATACACAAACATGTATACAGCCCTGTACCCTGAATAATACCCTGTAATATACACAAATATGTATACAATACTGTACCCTGAACAATACCCTGGAATATACACAAATATGGATACAGCACTATACCCTGAACAATAGTACATTATCCTGTAATATACAAAACTATGTCAATAAATGATACACTGTCATTTAAACATGTATGCAACACTCAATGCTAAACAACATACTGTAACATAAACAGGTACACAATACAGTTGTCTGGCCAAGAAAATCATTTAGATCTCACAAGTCTTATATTATCACAATCTCACAAAACATTATCACATGATGTCAATCTCACACGAGTCATGCTCAAATTACTATAATTACACATTCTCAGAGAATACGATTCTTGCATAACACACTCCATATGACTTACATTTTCTATCCAAGACTGGCGCTTAGCCATGTTTCTTCTGCGTAGTGACTTGTTGTTGGAGTCAACATCAGGGAACTTGGCGGTGGCTTCCTGTAACAAACAGATTACGTCAGTACCTCACATGTGATAACAAACAGATTACGTCAGTACCTGACATGTGATACCAACAGATTACGTCAGTACCTGACATGTGATACCAACAGAATACGTCAGTACCTGACATGTGATACCAAACAGATTACGTCAGCACCTGACATGTGATAACAAACAGACTACANTTAGCCATGTTTCTTCTGCGTAGTGACTTGTTGTTGGAGTCAACATCAGGGAACTTGGCGGTGGCTTCCTGTAACAAACAGATTACGTCAGTACCTCACATGTGATAACAAACAGATTACGTCAGTACCTGACATGTGATACCAAACAGATTAGGTCAGTACCTGACATGTGATACCAAACAGATTAGGTCAGTACCTGACATGTGATACCAAACAGATTACGTCAGTACCTGACATGTGATTCACAAGCCATGGACCAATCCAATATATAAATTTAAAAAAGGAGACCTATTTTATATTTTCACTAACTTGTATTGTATGGTATATAGATATTGTGTGTTTGTCTTTGTTACTACCTAGGGAACTTGTATGTTTAATATATAGATATTCAATGTGCCTGTTACTATATAGGGAAATTGTATGTTATATAGATATTATGTCTGTTACTACCAAGGGAACTTGTATGTTATATAGATATTGTGTCTGTTACTACCTAGAGAACTTGTATGTTATATAGATAGTGTGGGTCTGTTACTACCTAGAGAACTTGTATGTTATATAGATAGTGTGGGTCTGTTACTACCTAGAGAACTTGTATGTTATATAGATAGTGTGGGTCTGTTACTACCTAGAGAACTTGTATGTTATATAGATAGTGTGGGTCTGTTACTACCTAGAGAACTTGTATGTTAGATAGATAGTGTGTCTGTTACAACCTAGGGAGGGAACTTGTATGTTATAGAGATATTGTGTGTCTGTTACTGCCTAGGGAACTTGTATGTTTATTATATAGATATTCAATGTGTTTGTTACTACATAGGGAACTTGTATGTTATGCAGATTTTGTGTCTCTGTTACTACCAAGGGAACTTGTATGTTTAATATATAGATATTGTGTGTCTGTTACTACCTAGAGAACTTGTATGTTATATAGATATTTTGTGTCTGTTACTACCTAGAGAACTTGTATGTTATATAGAAATTTTGTGTCTGTTACTACCAAGGGAACTTGTATGTTATATAGATAGTGTGGGTCTGTTACTACCTAGAGAACTTGTATGTTATATAGAGATTGTGTGTCTGTTACTACCAGGGGAACTTGTATGTTTAATGTATAGATATTGTGTGTCTGTTACTGCCTAGGGAACTTGTATGTTTATTATATAGATATTCAATGTGTTTGTTACTACATAGGGAACTTGTATGTTATGCAGATTTTGTGTCTCTGTTACTACCTAGGGAATTTGTATGTTATATAGATATTGTGTCTGTTACTACCTAGAGAACTTGTAAGTTATATAGATATTGTGTCTGTTACTACCTAGAGAACTTGTATGTTATATAGATAGTGTGTGTCTGTTACTACCTAGGGAGGGAACTTGTATGTTATAGAGATATTGTGTGTCTGTTACCACCTAGGGAACTTGTATGTTTATTATATAGATATTCAATGTGCCTGTTACTATATAGGGAAATTGTATGTTATATAGATATTGGGTGTCTGTTACTACCTAGGGAGGGAACTTGTATGTTATAGAGATATTGTGTGTCTGTTACAACCTAGGGACATATCAAAGGTACCCAGAACCACTACACAACACAGTATATATTATCCAAAAGTTTAACATGCTGAAACTGTTTCAACGCTTTCAGATATTAGAGAAAGGTTCTTAAAACAATTCCACTGCAAAATATTGGTTTTTATTTTATAGTAGCAATATTTAATAGTAATAATCAATCTTCTAACAAAAAATAAATAATTTTTTTTTTACATTTTTTCATCACTGACCTTCATAAGTAATTCTCGAGAGGCAATCTGGTTATTCTCGTTGGAGAATATATCAGCCAGCTCCTGAAACAGGGCTATACTTTCTCTGTAAAATAACACATAGACATATACAGAAGGATTGCTCAGTCTATTACATCTATTATCCTTACATAAATACAAAATATTATGCAGTTTTTGTAGAATTTATTTATTTCCAGCTTTGCCTAAGTAAAAAAAAAATAGAATTAGAATTAACAGTTTCAAACTTAACTGCCCTTTACAAGTATGTTATACTTAGTAATGATAAAGCAGGATTTTTTTATCATTAACATAATTAGCAGTCAGAAAAGTTTTACTACGCTATTAGTAACATGTCAAATCACACATGATCACATTCTGTCAAAGCAACAAATATTTAGAGACAAATTAGGTAAATATTCAGTTAAAATGATTTGTGGTTTAGGTTGTTGTAACACTACAAGGTAAGAGAATAAAAACATTCTGGAGAGGAACATCACAGAGGGCTCACGGTACAGGGACAGTTAGGAGGTCTCAGAGGGGGGCAGGGACAATTTAGAAGATTCACAGGGGGCAGGGACAATTTAGAAGATTCATAGGGGGCAGGGACAATTTAGAAGATTCACAGACCACAGGGGGAAAGGGACAATTTAGAAGATTCACAGGGGGCAGGGCCAATTTAGAAGATTCATAGGGGGCAGGGGCAATTTAGAAGTTTCACAGGGGGCAGGGACAATTTAGAAGTTTCACAGGGGGGCAGGGACAATTTAGAAGTTTCACAGGGGGCAGGGACAATTTTGAAGATTCACAGAACACAGGGGGAAAGGGACAATTTAGAAGATTCACAGGGGGCAGGGACAATTTAGAAGTTTCACAGGGGGGCAGCGACAATTTAGAAGATTCACAGGGGGAAGGGGAAAGGGACAATTAGGAAGTTTCATAGGGGGGCAGGGACAATTTAAAATATTCATAGAGGGGTAGAGACAGTTTGAAAGGCTCTAAAGGTAACAGGGAAGGAAAGCTTATAGGATGACAGGGACAACTAGGAAGATTCAAAGGGGGGTTAGGAAGTTTCAAAGGGGGCAGGAACATGAGTAGGAGTAAACATTACTCCTTGCTCTGAAGGGGGACCATGTTCCTTATGGTCTGTTGTTGGAGGGAAAAGAGGGGACATAAATCCTTACTTCGGAAGCGAGGACCACGTTCTTCGTAGTCTGTAGACTGCTTGTGCTTGGAGGCCTGAGATTATTGCTTTCAATGACGAAAAGTTTTTCAAATGTCTCAATTCCTGTTAATAAAATCGTAAGTAATGTAAAAGTCACACAGCAAAAAATGTCAACACACATATTAATAGGTCTTTGCTGAATCTTAACATCTTTCTGTTTCAGTCATGTAGGCAGATTAGTATTAGCTTGTAAACCAAACTAAAAAAAGGTTAACTAAAACCTAACATCAAATGCTTGTAAACAGGTATGAAGTAGAGACAAGAGGCCCAAGGGCCTTAGCGGTCACCTGAGTTATATCATAGGTACTGGTAGCTTTATTTTATTGTTTAGATGTGATGTGGAAATCAGCATGTAAACTAAGTGAAATACAATACTTGTCATGTCATCAAAGGATAAGAATTTGAAAATATTGGTAAATGTTCCCTTTGGGGCCCCGCCCTAGCCCCTGGGGATGGGGCAGGAATCCCAATTTTACAAAGTAATACTCTCATTCACCAAAGATGATTCTGACTAAGTTTGAGTAATTTTCTGCTGAAAATGGATAAAATATATACCCAAAAGTGTTATTTCCCTATATAAACTATAGTAAACTTTACCCCCTCCCCAAGGGAGAACGGATAGCTCGGGGGTCCTGAAATTTACAATTTAAGTAAAGCCCCTGATGATCTTTCTTTCCACGTAGAGAAAATCACTGTAGTACCTCTGAGTCTGGAGAAGAAGATTTTTGAAATATTGATTAATTTTCCCTTTGGGGCCCCGCCCTGGCCCCAGGGGTCGGGGTAGGAATCTCAATTTTACAATTTGAAACCATCTACCTCCAAGGATAATTCTCACCAAGTAAAAATAATTTCCTACAGAAAGTTGTCAAAATATACCCAAAAGTGTTATTTCCCTATATAAACTATAGTAAACTTTACCCCCTCCCCAAGGGAGAACGGATAGCTCGGGGGTCCTGAAATTTACAATTTAGGTAAAGCCCCTGATGATCTTTCTTTTCATGTAGAGAAAATGACTGTAGTACCTCTGAGTCTGAAGAAGAAGATTTTTGAAATATTGGTTAATTTTCCCTTTGGGGCCCCGCCCTGGCCCCAGGGGTTGGGGTAGGATTCCCAATTTTACAATTTTGTAGCCTCATCTACCAAGGATGATTCTGACCAAGTTTGAAAAAAATCCATCCACTGGTTCTTGAGAAGAAGTTGAAAATGTAAAAAGTGTACGCACGACGGACGGACGGACGGACGAACGGAAAGCGATTAGAATAGGTCACTTGAGCAAAGCTCAGGTGACCTAAAAATCCTGTATCTGCTGAAATCTTCATTATTCCATCTTTAACATTTTTTTTATTATTGACAATCGAGAAATGAAGTAGGAATGTGCGAGTCTTACTTGAGCAATGTCTATCCACTTTTGTACAATGCGGGATCGCTGCGATGATTTCATATCCCGACTCTTGAGTATTGTGGCAGAAACGCGGAGAGAAACTCGGTTGAACTGTTCAATGGTGGCAAGGACACTGCCAGCCACATTGCCACCTTTCCCGAGGCGGCGGGCTCGCCGGGCCCACACTGCGCCCAGACAGTGGTGCGGCACTACACGCTTAAACAACTCCTGGACAACAAAAAACAACAAAGAAAAATCAGAAAATTGATTAAAATCTCATTGAAAAGCTAACTTTAAGAATATGGTTTACAGGGTAAGTAGATCGTTGATTATATCCTTGCAGACTTTCTCTTATTATCATTATGCTGTAGAATGGGTGTTATCAATATAAACCTTTTGATGATATTGTATCTACCAACCTAAGACAATGTCAACACTGAAAGCCAGAAAGACAATGTAAACACTGAAAGCCAGACTTACTGCATCTTTCCAGGTGAGCTGTTCGGCGAGGCGTTGGTTGGGGATATCCATGAACTGGAGCGGCTTGAGGTATTCAGTGTCCATCATGTGGTCGACTTCATCGCACAGCGAGAAACGGAACTCTATACCAGCGTCTGATAAATATACAGTACTACAGTTTACAAATCTTTATACCAGTGTCTGATAAATATACAGTACTACAGTTTACAAATCTTTATACCAGTGTCTGATAAATATACAGTACTACAGTTAATAGATCTCTATACCAGTGTCTGATAAATATACAGTACTACAGTTAATAGATCTCTATACCAGTGTCTGATAAATATAC